GCAGCATTTTCCCCCTAGCAATACTTGGAGATGCTGGGCATTGAAGATGGGACTTTCTGAATGCAGCGCAGATGCTCTACTCCTGAGCTGTGGCCTTTCCCAAAGGCATGGCAACTTAGGAAGACCATTGTTCCATGTTCCATCTATCTCAGGACTATCCAAGCTGCATCATCATCATCATCTATCCAGAATTCCAGACAAGGGACGTTCCTAGCTGTGCCAGTAAATGCCAGGGATTGAAACTAGGAGCTTCTGCATGCAGTGGAGGTATTAGATGCTCAGCCCCAGAACTATGGGGTCCATCCCCTCAAAATAAAGTACGGTATGTTTCTAGTCCACGTTTCTGAACAAAAAGGCTGATTTACTGTAAATAGGAAGATTCCTTATACTGGAACTGTCCATTCATTCATCTGGACTGGTCATTCATCCTATTTACTTGACTGGCAGCAGCAATCCAGGGTTTCAGATGGGATCTCGCATAGCACTACTTGGAGATATCAGGGTTTTAAAACCTGGGACCTTCAGCTGGCTAAACACATATGCTCTCCCAAGGTCCTTCCCAAAATTTCTCATGCTCTGGAGGTGTGTGCACAATGATATATATATTAATCTCCACTTCGAGGATTTGGTTTGAGTTGGAAGTTCAGATTATGTAACCCACATTTAAATTAAAATAAAATAAAATACCCTCTCCCTGACACCCACCCATGCACAAGTGTATTTTTAGGGTCCTCCTCTCCCTCCGTCCTCCTCCCAAAAAACCCACAGGAATTTTGGCTTTAGGCCTGAAACGGTCTTGTATACATTGGCTTCCAGAGGTTTAAGTGCACTTAGTTTGCATTGGAGAGCATCCATGGAGTTTCCCTAGGTCCAGGTTGGGTGGGGGAGGGGGCGTCATAGTGCGATGGCAGAACATCTGTTTTGTATGCACAAGGTTCCAGCTTCAATCTCTGGCATCTCCAGGTAGGGCCAGAAAAGACCACTGTCTGAAACCATGGAGAGCCACTACCAGTCTGTCTTGACAGTCCTGACAGCTAGACGGAGCAATGGTCTGATTTTGTACAAGGCAGCTTCTTATTAAAAGCAGCCCTTTATTCAGAAACATGTGGTTTAGAGCCTTGCTTGATTCGGAGGGGAAGAGCCATAGGTCCATGGTACAGGGTTGGACTTAGTCTGCGGCAGCTTCCTCTCTAGTCCACAGCCAGCCCATGCCTACTTTTCTCTTTCTGACCCACTCCAGTCTCCATCTCACAGCAAAAAACGATTGGAAAACGATTGGAGAGAAGGAATCAATGGGCTGGAGAGGCAGCAGCTGCTGTTTGTTTCCTACACGTCGGCAGCACAGATGTCCGAGTAATTACTGCCGGAAGATGCTGCTTTTACCACACCGGCTCTATTTTGGGTTGACAAAGGAACTGCTGCCACCACTCCGTCTTCCTCCCACCCTCCAGCCGCTTGATAAGTTTCCTTTGCACAGAGCAGTTGAGTGGCCAGAGCTGTGGGCTGCTAAATTAAGCCAGTGAGGAAGAAGGAAGCCCCTCCGCTCACTTGCGTACCACAAACATGCATCTGTTTGAGCAATGAGCGTATAGGCAGAGGATTGGGGCCACTGCTAGCACTACTCAGAGCAGATCTGCTGAGATTCATGGAGCAAAGTTGGTCATGTCCATTCATCTCAATGGAGTCTGCTCCGAGCAACCCAAGGTGAGCTGAACCAGTCAGACCAGATCATGACTTCAGATGGCCGGTAAAGAATTCTCATCAGCGACCTGGTGATGATGCTCTCCAGGTATTGTGTTTATTATTTTATTTATATACTGCCCTTCACCAAAAGATCTCAGGGTGGATCACAGAATAAAATACAAGATAAAACACAGTAAATAATTAAACCAAAACAACAAAACAATAGCCCCCACCTTCCCACAGATACAATTAAATGGCTGTAGGATGTCAATCAGCCAAAGGCCTGGTTGAAGAGGAAAATTTATGCCTGTCGCCTAAAAATATATAATGAAGGCGCCAGGCGAACCTGGGCATTTCCCACACACCCCTCACCCAGCTGGATGCCACCATCATCCTAGGAAAAGGAACAATAAGCCAATGGAAGGGCTTTGTGTAAGAACATATGAACACAAGCAGAGCCTGCTGGAACAGGCCAGTGGCCCATCTAGTCCATTGTCCTGTTCCCACTCAGATGCCTGTGGGAAATCTGCTGGCAGGACCTGATCCCAAGATCCCTTCTCCCCTCCTGTGGGATTCAGAACCATTGTTGCCTCCGACCATGGAGGCAGAGCAGAGGTATTGTGGATCTTTATCCTCCATGAATTTGTATGTGGGAGTTTTGGCTGAGGAGGCAAGATCTGGTGGGATGTTAACACTTTGAGCCCCCACTCCACCCCATGCTCAGCTTGTATATATGTGTGAATAAAACTATATCTCCTAAGGACACCCCAGTCTCTGCTGTCCTTCATTCCTAAAGAAATCAAACTCTGGGTAAGTGCCTGGAGTCGCTCACTGCTCTGAGATTGGGGCAGTGCGCAATAGTACCATCTATTCATTTATGACATTTCATTTCATTTCATTTAGGAAACACTTGCCCTGAAACTTCCCAAAGTGATTTAACAATAAAGACATATCTAAAAACAATGTAAAATCCAATGCAGATGTCGACTGGGATAAAAATTACTGCTCTTCAGCCATTGATGAGTTCAAGGCAGTATGCATGCCTATCTCTCTCTTTCTCTCTGGATGCACACAGTGGCCAACCAGATGCCTCTTCTGGGGAGCCTGAAAGCAAGACCCGAGTGCAAAAGCAGCCATTCTCCCCACTCATGTTCCCCAGCAACTGGGAACCAAAGGCACACCACCTCCAACACAAAGCCCTCGGGACTGGACCCTTCGATAACCTTATCCTCTACATAGGGGTGCCAACTTGAATAAAATATTGGGGGAGCCCAGGTAAGCCCTGCCCTGCATAATCAATCACACAACACATCAACTTCAGGAGGGGAGGGCTGGCCACCTCAAATATTTTATTGGAGGGGCCAAAGGAACCTCAGCTCCTAGGAAGAGACTCCTATGCCTCCGTTGATTTGCCCAGCCTCCTTCTAAAGCTGATGGGACACCATTGCATCCTACAGCAGCAAATTCCTCAGTTTGGTCTTCCCAACGGATCCTGTGTGGCTGAGAGATGGGGAACTGCTCCAAGGTCACCTCACTGAGCTTCACGGATTCGAACCTGGGGTCCTCTCAGTTCCAGGTTCACCACTGTCACCACTATGCCACACTGGTGCACAACAAACGTGTATGGACACGGACACATATGAGCTGGTGCATATGGAACTGTGGTGTGGCTGTAGCGGTGAAAATATCAAGGCGGCCCTTGTTTGAATCTGACCTCTGACACCATAAACTCGCCAGCTGGCCTTAGACAGGGGCACTGTCTCTTTGGCCACAGCCACACCATACATTTAAAACAGTCATGGCTTCCCCTAAATAATCCTGGGAGACATAGCTTGTTAAGGTTGCTGAGAGTTGTTAGGAGGCCCCTATCCCCCTCACAGAACTACAGTTCCCAGAGTGGTTTAACAATCCATTCCCCTTCACAGGGAGCTGCAACAATTGTGGGCAATAAGGGCCTCTTAACTGCTGCTGTCAGCGATTTAACACCCTCTGCCCCTTGACATCCTATGACCTTTTGGGGGTGGGGTTATTGGGTTGTTGTTTTTATTTTGATTATGTATTTTGTGGCTTTATATTATGATTTTATTCTGTGAACCACCCTGCGGGTATAGGGCGGCATATAAATCCAATAAATAATAATAATAATAAATAATAATTTAAATGTATGGTATCAGTGGGGCCTAAGTTACCTAACTGTGTTAGAAGGGGAGGCCATTTTAAGCATGTTCCTTCATTTTTTAAATGTGTCCCTCAACTGATTGCTCATTGGAAGAGCACATACATTGTGCCCCAGAATGTTTTGTGAGGACACTTCAGTTGGGCTAATAAAGACATTGCCCTAATATGGTTTTTAGAAATAAGTGTCTTAGCAGCGCCATGGAAAGAAGACATCCCACGCTGCTCTGCTGACATATGAGTCAGGCATGAGGTGCAAGGCCCAAGCGAAGAAGGGGAGCCAGTGGCAGTTTAGCCTGGCCTGTTTGCCCCCCTTCTGGAGAGCCAAACCTCTGTCCTCCCACTGTGAGAGAGGCTTGGCCTTCAAGGATAATGTCAGGCTACATTCACACAGTACATTTAAAGCACTGTGACACCCCTTAAGCAGTCAAGGCTTCCCCCAAAGTATTATGGGAGCCGTAGTTTGTACAGGGTGCTGGGAGTTTTTAGGAGGCCCCTATTCCCCTCACAGAGCTACAGTTCTCAAGAGCAGTTAATGATCAGTCCCTCTTCACAGGGAACTATGGGAACTATGCATAGGGAAAAGACATCTCTGCCGTCAATGCCCCTGTGGTATGTAAACAAACAGAAATGAATCTGACCCGCTAATGATGTGAACGTGCTGATGCAAACAGCTAGAGGAGAAAGAGCTGTGAAATGCCCCAGAGAAACAAACAACTTCACAGTGCTCTAAGGTGGCAATGCAGGCACAGCCTTAGTTGGATAGAACCCTAAAACCCTAAAATGAGTTTTGGGGAGGTGTTCTGGGAGGCCGCTTCAGTGAGGGAGAGTGCAAGTCATAAGACAAGTACGGCAGAATGCTGCAGTTGCAAGCCTATCTTTCCCACCATGAGGACTAGAAACCTACTCATGCTTGGTTTGGGTTTTTTTTGGAAAGAACCCTACTCAAACCCTGTGTGGAAATTCAGCTCTCAGTACTCATTTCCAAGCTTGCATTCATAAGCAGTGCAATCATCGAAAACACTCATCTCAACCCAGGTTGCCTCCCCTCTTCCAAATCTCCCTCGTTCTCTTTCAAAGCCCCCTTTCAGTATCTCCCCCTGGGTGCTGCTGCTGCTATCCCTGTCCTTTGAGTTACTCACCTTTCCGGAAGGTTAGCCTTGGCATCTGATCTGTGGCCAGAGCAGCCGCGAACATCAAGAGGCAGCCCAAGAGGTGGGAAGACTGTCCGGAGTTCATGGCTGGTTATTAGCAGACAGCAGTAGCTGGGTTGGTTGAGAGTGGCGGAGGGGCAGCTAGCTTGGTAGCTGTTAAAGCAGAAGAGGAGAAAAGAGGAAGTCAACCACCAGAAAGAGAACGTATTTGGCCAACTGCTTGTCTGGAGCGGAACTGGGTTGGCTGATCAGAAGGCAGATTTCTAAATACTGTGTGTGGTATTTTGCTGCCATGATGGCATCCTCAGAGTGTTTCTGCTTGTGGTTGTTCCAGTGCAGCAGGAAGGAAAAGAGGAGGCCTTTCTACACAATGCAACGCAGAGACCACGGCTGGGAATGGAATTAACCAAAGAAGAAAGCAGAATCTTAATTCTGAATTAACTCTGTAGTTTAGACCGGATCTGAAATCAGTTTACCAAAACCCAGTGGCGTAGCGTGGGTTGTCAGCACCCGGGGCAAGGCAAGTAATTTGCGCCCCCTAACCCGTGGATTTGCGCCCCCTAACCTGTGGATTTGCCCTAACCCCAGATGTTGCGCCCGGTGCTGCCGGCCCCCCCTGCACCCCCCACGCTACGCCACTGCCAAAACCACTGGCCTGGTTTGGAAGGAGTAGAGAGACAATTTCATGGAAGGGGTCTCTCCAGAGATGGATTACCCAACAACAGACTGAGCACGTGCTTAGGGCAAATCCCCCCCCCTCCCCCAAAATGAGAAACTTTGCAAAAAGCTTGACATTTGATATTTCGAAAAGGAAAACACTAAAATAGGAATCGTGGGGGAAACCAGAATTGTAATTGAAATCTCTCCCCGTTTTTCTGTTCTCTTTTTATTACTCATCCTGAAATAAACCAGGGGACGCCCCACTAATGCACATCGAACCAGAGTAAGGAAGCCAGATCCTGTCCTGTGTTACACGTGGCATCTATGCATGTACATTTCAGCATACGTGTCAGTTTTGTGTCATTTTGAAAAATAAAATTATATTTCATGGTTTAGTATTGTTTTTATTTATTTTTATTTTTAATTATTTGTACCCCACCCACCACTCTGGGCGGCTTCCAACAAAGATTTAAAATACATTAATTTTTGAATTACACAGGTTGGGGGGGGGATGTAAAATAATCTTTTCATTGGTTAGGACTTCTAAAGGTCTTAATCCAGCCCTGGGTCATAGAATTGTAGAGTTGGAAGATACCCCAAGGGTCATCTAGTCCAACCCCTTGCAATGCAGGAATCTTAGCTAAAGCATCCATGACAGATGGCCATCCCACCTCTGATTAAAAACCTCCAAGGAAGGGGAGTCCACAATCTCCTGAGGGAGACTGTTCCACTGTCGACAGCTCTTATTGTCAGAAGGTTCTCTCTGTGTCTTCCTTTGGTTCTGTGGCAGTCTTTCTACTACCCATATACAGTAAATTTGTCCAGCTTAGGGACTGGCATGATAGAAGCTTGCACCAAGTAAGAGATCTTTATAAATATAAACACCCTTTATCCATAGAGGGACTTCCCACAAAACCTCAAGGCATGCATGTCAATTAACTTCACATTCTTGACAGTCATTTTATCAGCAATAAAACAAGCAAAGATATAGCACTGAGAGAGCTCAGCAGCTTTGAGCTTTTGATGCTAGAATATGAACACAGTACTAAGGGTCTGGTCCCAAAAATATATTCTTTATTAAATGACGAAACAACCAGCTCTTTTCATTTTCTCTGAAAGTGCTTTGGAAATGTGATTTTGAGCAGTCTATCACATATGAGTGCTGCACTGATATATGGCATAAGCAACTAGTTAAATCAATTTCTGCAATGGCCAGAGAATGCCATTTAAATTGGATCCATCAATGGGATCTTACCTCTCTGCGCCTGGCACACATTTCTGGCTCTTAGGGCTATAACTGCTGGAGAGGCTGTGAAGTTAGGTTTTTCTTACATATACCTGTGCTGGGATTGTCCCCACATTGTTTCGTATTGGACTGTGATATTTGCTTGAATAAATGCTACAAAGCATTTATTTGCTGTAAATGCAAACAATTATGTGACTCTCACTCTGCAGTTGGCTCTTCTCAGTATATGGGATGGAGAAAATGGGGATTTTGTGTACAAACCTTTGATAACTTTCTTTTGGTCAGACCAGGGTTCAAATCCCAATTCAGCCATAAAGCTCACTGGGTGGTGATCTTGGGCTAGTGACTGCCTCCCAGCCGAACCTACCTTGCAGGTTTGTTGTGAGGATAAAATGGGAAGGATAAGTATGCATACCACCTTGAACTCCTTGGAGGTGGGATACAGATGTAATCAATGATAAATAAATAATAAATAAATTGGCTAAACACAGTGTGGAGTATTGTAACGGTGGGGAAATTAAAACTTGCATTTTTAATTGCATTAAAACTGGCAGAAGGAAAAGCTAAACTGATGAATTTCTTTGTGGTCTGGCACCATTCCATGGAGTATGTTAGAACACATGGACAAAAACCAAATCTGTTTTAGGCATTTCTTAGATTATGGGACGAACCCTGATGCTCTCCTAGAACAGCGGACAAAGGGATCTCAATGCTTTGATAGTACTTGGGCAAATGAAACTGAAATGTTGTAACTGCAGACACCATTTTTTTTTTGGGGGGGGAGAAGGGATGTTGCTTGCATCTGATTTACCGTACTTTAATTTGAGCATTAGTCGTGCATCTTATTTGCCACATTAATGTTTCACACTTTCATGTTTGGAATCTCTCATTCTTCTATAGGGTAAAAACTTTTGCAATAAAAATATGCAGAAAAGAGGAAGACTTAAGGGACTAGTTCATCATGCCCTAGGTGAAGATGGCAGGGAGTGGGGAGTTCTGCAAGGCACCAAACAAGGAGGTGCCACTAATCCTGGGACTGTGGGAAAGATCCACTGAAAACAAGTGGTAGCAAAAACCTAAGAGGGAATTTTGAAGCCAAGGAGACGGATCATAAGCTTCCCACGTGGTCCGGTACTGGCACAAAATTCAGAGCAGTCTTTGCCACCTAGTGTTCTTCAGCTGTTTTGGGCTATAGTTTCCATCATGGTACAAGAAGGCTGGTTTAAATCTTATCCAGCATAAGCTGTAAAGAATGTTTTCTTTTCCCCCCTTTTTTTACTTTTTCAATCCTTTATTATTTTTTCAATATTTGGCACAGATGGACTGGACATTCAATACAGTATTGTAAATTCTTTTCATTGTTGGCAAACCAACGACCAGAAATGCTTAGGAATTGCATTGGACCACAAGGGTATTTGCGAAATCAGAGGGAGTAATTTGCCTTCTTGTTTCTTAAAGATTCCTGCACTGCAGAGGGTTGGACTGGATGATCCTCGTGGTCCCTTCCAACTCTACAATTCTGTGATTCTGTAAACAATAGAGGGGTACCAGGTGCTGGAGAAAGTCTCCCGCATTTTACCTGCTCCAGCCAGTTTACTTAGAGCAAACAGGAAGAGAGGTAAGGTCAAGAAGACAGCCTTTCACCTATCAGTTTCTCTGTTCAAACTGGCAACTCCTCCAAAATTATTGGCACATGCCAGGAGATTGCTTGAGCATTATGCAGTCCAGCTCATACATCCATGCCTTTGTCTAAGTTGGTCCCCCAATTCTCCTTCTTGGTTTAGGTTGGAGCTTTTTGTCCATCCACTGAAACTTATGCCTTCAGGTGACCAAAGCTTGACACAGATGCTTAGCCAATTAAATTGCCCCTGGAAGGCCCAGAAGTAATCCCAAAGAATTTGCCTTGTGTTGCAAGATTACAACGCCCTGTTGGATAATGAAAACAATACTGTAGCATAAGAGCAACCTGTCTGGCAACTCTGGCATCGGCACCTGCCACGTTTAGCAAACATGTCCACAAATTACCTTAATTACAGACAAGTAATTTTATGCAGATGAGCAATGGCCCTGCAGCCCATTATATTTGGCCACTGTGCCTTCTAGCAGCCACATGCTCCTGCCTTAAGTCCATCCTTGTCTTCAACTGCTTGGAGCTTTTCCCTTGGAGATGACGCCAAGCTGAGCCTTTGCCTCCCTCCAGTCCTATTCCCAACACGCTAGCCACTACCCCACATGTCGTGTGCCGCGGGCTAGACTATAATCAAATGCACAATCTGACAAAGTGGAATTACGCCTACAACAGCTCAAGTTGCAAACACAGTTAAGGGCCAAGCTCTTGACAAGACACCTTTCCTGCACTGAGTAATTGCACGAATGGGTTCTAGAGCCCTGGCCTGGATTGGGACCACAGGGCAAAAGGTCCCCTAGCAGTGGGGCCAGAATTCCAAGCTAGATGGGGGAGTGCACCTGCTAAGAACTCTAAAACCCAAGCAAAATATTAGGGCAATGGTTCCTGTAATGTTGCTTATGTGCTTTAATTATTTAAGAAAGGGGTGTAAACACAGACAGAGATGCAAATGATGTTAGTAGTAGCAGCACCGATGTTGCAAGACATATCCAAATTAGCATCTTTCTCCCATCCCATAATACCTTTCAGGCCTGGCCCTTGAAGTGCTGAGTCAGCTGCCTGTCCCTCCTCCTGCTGCTGCTGCTGCTCTGGGTGTTACAGAGATCAACCTCAGAAGCCGGTAGGTGACAAGTGGCTGACAGAGGCAGGACAGGCTGGTGGTAAGGTCCAGCCAGAGCCGAGTCATCCTCATTTCCTGGCATCGCCGGAGCCCGCCTGCAAGGGTCAGCTGCTTCTTCTTTGCAGAGCCTCAGCAGCCTTCATATGACTTGAAAGCAGGCGGTGGGGGAAGCCAGCAGTTGTGCAAGGAAGAGCTATGGAAGCCCTGCTACCGGGTGAACGGAAGCAGTCAGCTGGGGCTGCTTCCGACACACCCCTCATTTTCATTTCCTTCCATATTTTGGAGCTCCAGAATTACCCAAGTCTAGTTCCAAAAAGTGACAGTGATGTATTAGGAGCGCATCGTCGTTTCATTTTCTGTTTTCAAATTTCGTGCGGAACCCTTTTTTTGCATGGCCAGGTTGCCACACCTTTCCATTCCTAGACCCCTTTTTATGCATCTGTTATACATGAGCATGTTGATATAACAAGTCATGCCCCTTCTTCTTCTTCTTCTTCTTC